CCTTAGCCAGTTGAGCTATAGGCGCCGAGCCTATGCTGAGATACTTATCCCCTCAACCCTTGGGTTACTTACTCCAATAAGGCATATAGATATTAATCACTTTCTATGTGTGGGAAGTAGTGCTTTAGGTGACATTCCTTATCTTTCTTCTAGGGGAGGAAGTTGCCTTGTACTGTGCCAAGTATCTTCCTGATATCATCAAAGATCAAAAGGCTTACAAGGAAGGCAAGCTGCAGAAGGTCTGTCTTCCCACACTGTCCATTCTCCACTTATGTAGGTTTTCCATTCTTTTTGTCCCCTCACAGCTGCTGATTTATTTACTGCAGTTCTTCTTAAAGAATTCTGTCTTTTGAATGAGCTTATGGGGACCTTTTTAGACTTCTCTTGTTATTCCCGGGTCTGAATAGTTTTACTTACCTGTGAGTGTCTTATAGGGTAATGGATCACATTCTAATTTGTATCCCATCCTGTGCACAGGATTAAATATAGGCAATTCTTTTTGTACCCACTATACTTTTCCCCATACTTGCCTTATACCATTTTGGTTATATTCAGGCTTTAGAAGATGCCTTCTTAGCTATTGATGCCAAACTGACCACTGAGGAAGTCATTAAAGAGCTGGCACAGATTGCAGGGCGACCCACTGAGGATGAAGATGAAAAAGAAAAAGTAGCTGATGAAGATGATGGTGAGTATGGCACCTGGTATTTGAGGAGAAATCAGCATTAAAAGAAAAATATTCACTGGGCGCGGTGGCTCATGCCTATAATCCTAGCACTTGGGAAGCTGAGGTGGATGAATTGCCTGAGCGCATGGGTTTGAGACCAACCTGAGCAAGAGTGAGACCCTGTCCCTAAAAGTAGGTGGGCGTTGTGCCTGTAGTCCCATATTCTTTAGTATATGTTATTTGTTAATTAATTCTAACAGAAGATGGCTTTCAGGGGACTAAGGGAGTCCACACATTAAAGAACTCTGTGGTATTCTCCTGTACTATATATGGATAGCAAAAGGAAGGAGAGAATGATTAACCTTTGTGAGTGGCTTGTGTCTTAGTTTAAACATTTCTCTTTTTTGCAGTTTTTGGCTGGGGCTGGGTTTGAACCTGCCACCTCTGGCATATGGGGCCGGCACTCTCCTCCTTTGAGCCACAGATGCCACCCATAAACATTTTTATATTCACAATTTTTAATCATTGTGTTGGGGTCTTCCTGGTTCCTGTTATATTTATTTGCCTTCTTCCCCGAGACTGGAGCAGTCATTAGCCCCAATAGCCATTCTTTAAGCCTTTACCCTCGGCCTAGACTAGCATTGTAGGCTTCCTGTGACCTCAGCCAAAATAGGGTCTCCAACTTAACAATAACATATGAGAAGTAAGGGGGGGAAATACAGTAACTAGTAGTGTTCCTTTGACTAAGAAAGGGATGAAAATATCCGTGGGCAGAAGCTAGGGGATGTTCTTCTGAGACTTGATAAGTGAGAGGAGCCTTAGGAGTAGGAGTTTGTGGGGAAGTTGCAGCTCAGGCTGCAGAGGCTTTTGAGACAGTGAGAGGGACTGGTCCCTTGAGGATTCTGGCATGGGGGCTCTGATTTAGCCTCTTCCCTGCCTGCAGTGGACAATGAGGAGGCTGCACTGTTGCATGAAGAGGCTACCATGACTATTGAAGAACTGCTGACACGCTACGGGCAGAACTGTCACAAGGGCCCTCCCCACAACAAATCTGGAGCTGGGACAGGCGAGGAACCAGGGTCCCAGGGCCTCAATGGGGAGGCAGGACCTGAGGACCCATCTAGCGGAACTCCTTCACAAGAAAATGGCCCCACAGCCAAGGCCCCCACAGGCCTTTCCTCTAACTTGGAACGTGGGACTGAGGCAGGCCAAGTTGGTGAGCCTGTCACTCCCACTGGTGAGGCTGGGCCTTCCTGCTCTTCAGCCTCTGACAAGCTGCCTCGAGTTGCTAAGTCCAAGTTCTTTGAGGACAGTGAGGATGAGTCAGATGAGGCAGAGGAGGAAGAGGAAGACAGTGAGGTAAGAGCCTGTGAGGGCAGGCAGATGCTGAAGTCACAGAGAGGGCTTATTTGTTGCTATCCATAGCTTTAAATTCTCTTTTCCTTCTCCTATTTTGACCCAGTGTATTCTAAATGTTAGCCTTCTTAAATTCTTTGGTCTCTACCATTGTAAGCGCCACTTTCCTTCTTGCCTCTTCCTTTGTTGACATTATCACAAATAGATCTAGTTTTGGCCAGTTGCTGTTACCTTGGATATTTGGGTGTTTCCTTTTCTGGACAATTTATTTTCTGACCTTGTTGACTGGAAGGTACTTTTGGTTGGCAGTTCTGGTTTTTCCAGGGCTTCGTGCTAGTGACTGCTAAGCCCAGTTCAAGATGTCAGTCATACCCGTGCTAGCTCTTTCCATTCCCAAGATTTTTGTAATCATATGGTAGTATGTGTGCAGTCAGGGCCTCTTGGTTCTGAGTATGAGTTGGGCGGGGGGGAGGGAGTCATCCCAGTCTCAGCAGTCTGGGATTCTCCCCTTTGGCAGGAATGCAGTGAAGAAGAGGATGGCTACAGCAGCGAGGAGGTAGAGAATGAGGAAGATGAGGATGATACTGAAGAGGCTGAAGAGGAGGATGAAGAAGAAGAAGAAATGATGGTGCCTGGGATGGAAGGCAAAGAGGAGGTGTGTGGGGGAGGGGAGCAGTGGTCTGGAAAAGCCAGCAGGCAATTGTGAATCTCTTGAATCTGATTTTGACACAGATTTCCTTGATACTTTAGGGGATTTATGTTGCAAGGGGAACTAGGTGGTAAGCCTTTTGGGTAAAGTTACCTGAAAATTGGGGAGGGGTATGCTACTGTCTCTGGAAAGATGAAGTCAGTGCTCTTCCTGTTCGTTAAAACTCTCTTGGGTTTCCCAATGAAAGGGGAAAGCATGAGTGAAGTGCATCAAGGAGGAACTCATGTCCTCACATCTGTTTTTGTGCTCCTATTCTTCCCACTAAGCCTGGCTCTGACAGTGGTACAACAGCGGTGGTGGCTCTGATAAGAGGGAAGCAGTTGATTGTAGCCAATGCAGGAGACTCTCGCTGTGTGGTGTCTGAGGCTGGCAAAGCTTTAGACATGTCCTATGATCACAAACCAGAGGATGAAGTAGAGCTAGCACGCATCAAGAATGCTGGTGGCAAGGTCACCATGGATGGGAGAGTCAATGGGGGCCTCAACCTCTCCAGAGCCATTGGTAAGGGCCAAGAAACTATGGGAAAGACTTTTGGGGTCTTACTCTCTGTTCCAGACTATCTAGTAGCAAACTTAATGTTCATAGCCTTTGTACCTTTATATTGAGTGTTTCCCAGTTATTATATACAATCATTTATATATTATATTTTATATTTATACATAAATAAATAAAATATATAAATATATTAAAGATACATATTCAAAATATATATGTATATATTTTTGAGACAGAATTTCACTTTTGTTGACCTCAGTAGGGTGCTATGGCATCATAGCTCACAGCAACCTCAAACTCTTGGGCTCAAGCGATTCTTTTGCCTCAGCCTCCCAAGTAGCTGGGACTATAGGCACCTGCCACAACACCTGGCTAGTTTTTAGAGATGGGATCTCGCTCTTGCTTGGGCTGGTCTTGAACTCCTGAGCTCAGGCAATCCATCCACCTCGGCCTTTCAAGTGCTAGTATTATAGGCGTGAGCCACTGCACCTGGCCCTTTCGAAATATTTTAATGTCTTCTGCTTCTGTCCTTGAACATCTCTGTGAAATAACTAAGCTAGGTATCATTATCTTCACTACTTTTTAGATGATGAAAAAGGCTTACTTCAGGTTCACAACCTAATGGGAGGACTGAAACTCAAAAAGCTAGAACTCAGTTCTCCATTCTACTAGATGATAGAACTTAATAAAAAAGGGAAATGACTCTACCTCAAAAAGAAAGTCGGTGGTAAATATTCAAACTGCTCATCAAACAACCATTCTTTTACTTTAGGAGATCACTTCTATAAGAGAAACAAGAACCTGCCACCTGAGGAACAGATGATTTCAGCCCTTCCTGACATCAAGGTGCTGACTCTCACTGATGACCATGAATTCATGGTCATTGCTTGTGATGGCATCTGGTGAGCACTTGCAGAATGCCCTAAAATCTTTCTGCAGCATTACTTCTCTTGTAGGGCATGGAACTCTTCTAAGATTAGAGCCTAGGCAGACCACTTGGTGAGTCAAGACCACCACGCCTAAAGTCAGAGCTGAGGAAAATTTCTGTAGGTGTTTATATTGGTCTGGGTCACCACTTCTAGATAAACTCCTCTACTCTGCCTTGGTGATACTAAAGAAGATTCTGTTGTTTTTGAACAGGAATGTGATGAGCAGCCAGGAAGTTGTAGACTTTATTCAATCAAAGATCAGCCAGCGTGATGAAAATGGGGAGCTTCGGTTATTATCATCCATCGTGGAAGAGGTGAGTCCCAGAATGAAGAGAGGGTGTTTGGTCTGCATAGTCAAGCTTTACTCTCTCCACCTGACCCTAGAAGTACCATTAATAACTGACAAATGTCAAACCTTGACTAAGAAAGTACCACTTAGCCTTATGCCTCAGGGACTAGCAAGTTGGTTGTTTTGAGATACCTGTTGCCCATTCCTCTTTTCATCACCTTCTCGGCAGGGGAAACCCTCTTGTGGGACTCTAGGTTCCTGGGAAGGTGTTCAAACCCTGTAGCTGAGCTACTCCATCACTTTTGTAGCTGCTGGATCAGTGCTTGGCACCAGACACTTCTGGGGATGGTACAGGGTGTGACAACATGACCTGCATCATCATTTGCTTCAAGCCACGGAACACACCAGAGCTCCAGCCAGAGAGTGGCAAACGGAAACTAGAGGAAGTACTCTCTAATGAGGGTGCTGAAGAAAATGGCAACAGCGACAAGAAGAAGGCCAAGCGGGACTAGCAGTTATCCAGACCCCTGCCCACCTAGACTGTTTCTGAGCCCTCCGGACCTGAGACTGAGTTTTGTCTTTTTCCTTTAGCCTTAGCAGTGGGTATGAGGTGCGCAGGGGGAGCTGGGTGGCTTTATTCAGCCCATTCCAAAGAGGGCTATCCCTCCACACAGCAGCCTGGGAGCCTCTGCAGTCTTTCCCAACCTCTTCCGTGCTCCTTGGGCTCATCACCGGTTCTGTGCCTGTGCTCTGTTGTGTTGGAGGGAAGGACTGGCGGTTCTGGTTTTTACTCTGTGAACACTTTATTTAAGGACATTCTTTTTTATTGGCGGCTTCATGGCCCCCAGCCGCTTGCACCCGCTCTCTGTTGTACACTTTCAATCAACACTTTTTCAGACTAAAGGCCAAAACCTAATTGTGCCCATGGTGTCCTTTTTTCTCTGCTGCCTTGGGCCCCGATTTGGCCCCTTCGGTAGCATCGAGCGAGCCCCTCCCTGTGAACATATGTGCACACACGTTCGTCCCGTGTGTGTAGAGGCGAGGGGGCCGGGCACTGTAACTCTGGAGCCAACTTCTGGCAGGCCGGCCTGGCGCCGCGCGCCTCCTCACCTCCTCCCGGAGGCAGGAATGACTGCCTAGTTCCCCGGGGAAGGGTCAGGACTGGTCTGGCGGGACCCGAAGTCTGACGCCGCGGCCAGGTTCCCCTTGCCCGGGGCCGGCCGGGTTCGCCCCCGGCCGCTGATTGGCTTGGCTGCCTGCACTCATCACAATCACTTCCTGGTCACCTCGCGGGAACCCTCCCCGCTGCTGCTTCCCAAGGACTACGGGTCCCGTGCGGCTCTGCGGTAGCGGAAGCGGAAGCAAGTACGGAGGTACCAGCTGGTCTCCGTAGGGGGGTAGGGGGCTCCATGAATGGAAGCGGCGGCGGCGGCGGCGGCGGCGGGAGCGGCCTGAGCTGGGCGCCAGGGCCAGGGCAGGGGTCAGCCCAGGGCCCGCGCTGCTGCATGGGGGTGGCCCGCGGGCACTGAGAGCAAGGCCGGACTGGCGGCCCGGACTGGGAGGGGCGGGGCCGGGCGGCCGCAGGCCGGAGGCGCGTCGGGCTGGAGCCGGTCACGATGCCCCGAAGGAAGCAAAGCCACCCGCAGCCGGTGAAATGCGAGGGGGTCAAAGGTCAGGGGTCAGGGCCCTTGCCGGGGGGGGGAGCGGGGGTGGGGTCAGTGGAGTGGGTTTAGGTCGGGGTGGAGGTGGACTCCTAAGGGATGGGGTGGTGTGCTAGCTTCTCACCGAGGCACTAAGGGAACCCGAAAGGGTCAGCGAGTACGGGAAGTGTGGTCCACGAGGCCTGGCTCCTGAGTGAAGTCCACAAGCCCCCTCCTCTCTTCAGTGGATACTGAAGACTCTCTCGACGAAGGACCCGGGGCCCTGGTATTGGAGAGTGATTTGCTACTAGGCCAGGATCTGGAGTTTGAGGAGGAAGAGGAAGAGGAGGAAGGTGACGGCCACAGTGACCAGCTCATGGGCTTCGAGAGAGACTCTGAAGGTGGGTTTTGGGGACTTGGTTAAGGATTCGTGACCGCTAGTGACCTCAGTCCTCCAAGAGTAGGTTTTAGTGTCAGTGATCAAGACACCCTTTCCTGATACAACTTTGGGCTGGTTTAGTTTATGATTGTGCCTGATTACTTCATCTGTTTAACGATCCAATCACTTCTATCACTTTGTTCAGGTGAAGATCTGGAGCCTGGTCAAAGGTGGTATGAACAGGAGGGTGGGTGAATCACATGGAGCAGCTGGTTAATTGTAAATGCCCTTGTCATCCTCCCCAGCCTGTTTCTTCCTTATGTGTTTACTTATAAGTTTAGGGAAGCAGCCCCTCTGTAAATCATTGAAGTCAGCACTTTAACTTCCTTTCACCTGTAGCATAAGCGCCTTTGTATTGAGAGGTTTTATCTCCATGTTGCTTTTCCCTGTGATCTCAGCATCACTGTACCCTAATTTGCTGCAGTACCTATCCACTTTTGCTACTTACAAGGAAGGATACTTTTGAAAGACACTGAGAATCCATGTAAATGTGAATCTGTCTTTTTAGACATACAAATGGTATTACCATGCATTACTCTTATTGTTTCCACTTCCAAGTTTTGCCTCAGACAAGTTTTGTTTTGTAATCAGCTCCATCCTAGAAGGGGCTCTACTAACACAGAGCTTAGAAAAAGTTCTCAGGCCTTCTCTGCCTTTTGTATTTTTATTTTCTTATCCTAAGAGTTAATTGCATGATTGATTCATTTCAGTCTGTGGTCCAGCACCAGTCCCGATCCTTTTCCATTCAGCAAAACTAGCTTATTTCTGTGATCACTAGGTTATTCCAGGCTCAGAGATAAAGATAGTTCATGTTGAATATTCTGAACTTACTGCAGGGAAAGATCTTTATCACTAGGAGGGAACTACAGGGATCATCAAAGTTAAGAAAGAGAATCATGGGGCCAAACAGATGGGGAGGCCATAAGTGAAAAGGGAGATGGGAGCCTGATCCTACTGATGTCTTTTCTCATGTCTGTCTCACCAGGAGACTCTCTGGGGGCCAGGCCTGGGCTTCCCTACGGGCTGAGCGATGATGAATCTGGGGGCGGCCGGGCACTAAGTGCTGAGAGTGAAGTTGAGGAACCAGCCAGGGTGCCAGGGGAGGCCAGGGGTGAGAGGCCAGGCCCAGCCTGCCAGCTGTGTGGGGGGCCGACAGGTGAGGGGCCGTGTTGTGGGGCAGGAGGGCCGGGTGGGGGGCCCCTGCTGCCCCCTCGGCTACTGTACTCATGCCGCCTCTGCACCTTCGTGTCCCACTACTCGAGCCACCTGAAGCGGCACATGCAGACACACAGCGGGGAGAAGCCGTTCCGCTGTGGCCGCTGCCCCTACGCCTCAGCCCAGCTCGTCAACCTGACACGACATACCCGCACCCACACTGGCGAGAAGCCCTACCGCTGTCCCCACTGCCCCTTTGCCTGCAGCAGCCTGGGCAACCTGAGGCGGCATCAGCGTACACATGCAGGGCCCCCTACTCCTCCCTGCCCGACCTGTGGCTTCCGCTGCTGTGCTCCACGACCAACCCGGCCTCCCAGTCCCACAGAGCAGGAGGGGGCAGTGCCCCGGCGACCTGAAGGTAAAGGGCCAGGAACCAAATATCCTGGGACATGGGTGGGTAGCCCTAGGGTAATCTGATTCTTAGCCCAAGTCTGATTTTTCCCACAGATGCTCTGCTCCTTCCAGATTTGAGCCTTCATGTGCCACCAGGTGGTGCTGGTTTCCTGCCAGACTGTGGGCAGCTGCCGGGTGAAGGGGAGGGCCTCTGTAGAACTGGATCAGAACCACTGCCAGAGCTGCTATTCCCTTGGACCTGCCGGGGCTGTGGACAAGAGCTGGAGGAGGGTGAGGGTAGTCGGCTGGGAGCAGCCATGTGTGGGCGCTGCATTCGAGGAGAGGCTGGAGGGGGTGCCAGTGGGGGGCCCCAGGGTCCCAGTGACAAAGGCTTTGCCTGTAGCCTCTGCCCCTTTGCCACTCACTATCCTAACCACCTGGCCCGGCACATGAAGACACATAGTGGTGAGAAGCCCTTCCGGTGCGCCCGCTGTCCTTATGCCTCTGCTCATCTGGATAACCTGAAACGGCACCAGCGTGTCCACACAGGAGAGAAGCCCTACAAGTGCCCCCTCTGCCCCTATGCCTGTGGCAACCTGGCCAACCTCAAGCGTCACGGTCGCATCCACTCTGGTGACAAACCTTTTCAGTGTAGCCTTTGTAACTACAGCTGCAACCAGAGCATGAACCTCAAACGCCACATGCTACGGCATACAGGCGAGAAGCCCTTCCGCTGTGCCACTTGCGCCTACACCACAGGCCACTGGGACAACTACAAGCGCCACCAGAAGGTGCATGGCCATGGTGGGGCAGGAGGGCCTGCCCTCTCTGCCTCTGAGGGCTGGGCCTCACCCCACAGCCCATCTTCTGTTCTGAGTTCTCGGGGTCCGCCAACCCTGGGTGCTGCTGGTAGCCGGGCTCTCCATACAGACTCACCCTGAACTAGGGCCTCCTTCCCCATGTTTTATACAGATGGACCAGAAGCCACCTTCTCCTTTGTCCCCCGCTGGCCAGGGGCTCCATACAAACTAATCTAGGCGCTCAAAGGACCAGCCAAACCTCATGGGTAGAGAGCCCATATGGACCAAGGGACCTTGCCTTGACTGATGCACTTCATGAGCTCAGTGAGAAGGGCCCTGTATTTGCCTCCATTACTCCCGGGGGCTGTGGATGAACTGGCTGGGGAACTACCCAGCCTCCCACCTGTTTTAACTTATTTCAGTGCTTTATAATAAAGGAAACACTAACAAAGCCATGCCTATGCTGAATCGGCAACAGCAAGCACAGTCTGACTTCACCCTTAGCATAGAAATCCATGCTATGGATGGGGGAAGCAGAGGCAGTGAGAGGGAACCAGAGGTAGGCAGCAATCAGGCTGAATTTAATGACAGGGAACTGGGCCAGACCATACACAGACCTTTGCCCATACCCTTGGCCTTTGGCCCATGGCCCCAAAAAGCCAAAAGCAGCCCAGGGGGAGCTTGGTTTTTCCCCCAAAGCAGGTAGCCATGGTCCCTTAGACTTTGTGCAAAATACTAAATGCTAATTTGGCATTGAGGGCCAGCTCTGAAAAGACGGGACAATCCTTTGTGCAGCCAGCCCAGGAAGAAGGAGAGGTTTGTTAGAAGGCCCCTGGCCAAGAGGAGAAAAAGGTAAGGAGGAGGAAGGAAAAGATCCCCTAGCTTGGGGGACATAGGCACAGGGCAAATTTCTATAAATTTCTCTGGGGTAGAGGGCATCCAAGCACTGGAGATTACAGATCCTCATCTCCAATGCCCTCAAAGGCGAAATTGCCGTGGACATCACTGGCACTGGCATCTGTGCTGGGACTGCCAATTCCCCGCAAGCTCACGGCACTCAGCTTACTCTGTAACAAAGGCAGGGTGGGGTCAGAGGGCTTAAGCCTGTGAGATCCCCTGCAAACACCAACCTCACCAACCCTGTAACTCACTGAGAGTTTGACCACAGACTCCCGGCTGGCATCAGGTGATTCCTAAGGAAGAAGAGACAGGTGTCAGACTCACTGGTACAGGTGAGGCAAGGTGCCTAACCAAGAGGCAATACTTACTAGCAGTGGTGGAGACTTCACTGCTTGCTGGCTGTCTGAGCGTCTCAGGGTGCCCCCCACCCGCCGACGTAGCATCTATAGACAGACAAGGTGTGGTGAGGGCAGGAAACACTTCCTTTCCCTTTCAAGAGAAGCCTAGGACAAAAGGAGGGGGCAGGACAATCCCTTACTGCTTAATCCACGCTTAGCCCACATTGCTGCCTACCTTCCTGATACTGCCGCCAG